CACAGAATACCAGCGTAAAATAGCATCTTAACACTGTAGAGAACCGGAGACGCTTTTTACTGGAAAAGAGGCACTCCATCTTAGTCCTCACGGGTGACAACGCATCTACATTTTGATTCGCAAACAAGGATAGATGTAGATGTCTACGGGCCACAGCAACCACTTACCATCAGGTGGACTGTGTGCTCTTTACTCATCCTATCCTATAAAAAAAAACTCAATATTGTCTCTGTCCTAGTTTGAAAAGCGTTTGCCCTCCCTCAACTGCGTGCACTATCTCAGCACTACTACTCCCCAACACAGGAAAGACACACCACCACCGTTTACACGACACGTGTTTCGCCTCTACACGAGGCATGCTCGGGTGAAGTAGACTCTGCGGTTACTGATCGCTAAGTTACTTAGAGACTATATCTTTAAATATAATGGATTTCCGCCAAATAACGCCTCATTTTACCGAATTCAAAAGGAGACGGTACTCAATTCGACTGTATGTTTTTTTTTTAAATGTGTGTTAACTTTTTACTGAGTGAACCGATTTCGATGATTCTTTATTTGAAAGGTGGTGCTTCACATTTATTTATTTATTTATTTATTTATTTATTTAGGCTTACCAACTAAACACATACAAAACATTATTATTAAACATTTGCAGGTATAAACAAAATTATACTATATATGTATTTAACTTAAAGGTATGCACAACATTTCAACATGAAACTTAAAATTAGTTATGAAATTAACAGATAATAAAATATGATATAAACACAAAGACTATTCTATGCAATTAAAACAGGTAAAATTATAATTTGGTAGAGAGCTTAACACATGTGGTGCCATATAAGGTTCACGAATAGTTTTTGAGTTATTCTTAATAATTTATATGGAAGTCGGTTGTACAAAATTTGTAATTTTAAATTATATTAATTATTAATTGGTAACGGCCTGTCACTTATTTCTGCCGACGGGTTGTCTGTAACGGGTTATAGATTGCAGAAACTTTAACCCATTTAATCTTAGTTCTCATTTTTGACAATGCAACTGTCACCTTCTTTGTTTGAAGTTGGTATTTGTGTATGGAATGCTCAGATGAAGTACTTCATCTGAGATGGAATGCAGTAGCCACTTCCCAATAGGAGAACTAGTTCGTTAATATCCTTAAATATAAGATTGCAGAAGTGTGACCGCCCTGCACTTCGTATTACGGAATCAGGCTGCCACTCGAGAACCATTCTACCGCATCGGATGTCGGTTTTTCGAGCTATATGACCGGCCCGATGTCACTTCAGTTAAGCTGTGGCTAGATAATCTAGTTCTACTGCGGAAATCTTGGCAGCCCCACAAAAAATAAAGTGGCGAACCTGGTAAGATACGTAGAAAATCAATTTGTTTTTTATTGAAAATGGGTTCACTCATACCCTCCATCTGGCCCAAGGGCAAAGATGGGGTCTACAATGGAGAAAGGTTTCCCAGAGAAGCCTTGAAGAGGTTCAGGTTATATGCACTCGGAAAAACAGACGCCGGCAGGACATTCCACTCCATGGCTGTGCGCATTATGAAAGATGACTTATAGCGCTTAGTGCGAATATTCGGAATGTCAACCAAGCGGTGATGGTAACCTGTAGTACGTCTGGTAATCAAATAGGAGAATGGAGATGGTCAATGGCGTTTCAGTGTGTTTTTGGTATAGTCTTGGCGGTCTTTACTGCTTCTAAACGAAGACGAATAGCATGAGCCCAGGGCTTACGAGTCTATCAATTAAGGCAAATCCTCTCAACATCCATATCTTGCAACGAACTTCTATGGACTGATGATGAATAACAACAATTCGAATTATTTATTATCGGGAATGACCGGCCCATTGCCACTTAAGCTTACTAATCCGTTGGGCTATGTCGGTCACTCTGGTTCTACTGCGGATATCCTCATTTCTAAGTTTATCACGCAGAGGGCTGTAATGATTATCGGGAATGAGGGTAGAAAAATAAATGAAATACGAACAAAGGAGGGTAGAACTGTAATCTTCTACTTGTTCTAGCAGTACAAAGCATCGCGCAGGCGACTAAGACAGATCAGTCGGTAAATCTACGAGTCTCACTGTCGTTACTACACTCGTTTGGGCATTCTACTAGTGTAGGCAAGGAAGGACGTGTTGCTGTGTTACATTGAGATAGATATTGTTGCTGTTGGTTTGTATACTTTGGTGTTATCATGTAATTAGGTCCTTCACATTACGCTGATGTATGATTGTGACGAGAATATGTTACGGTTGGTAGAAATCTATTGCACTATACTGAACGTATGGTGCAGTGCGCTGTTTCGTTGGTGATAATGAATCAGCTGCAGGACTCTTTTTAGAGTACCATAGTTACACAAAAAGTAACCCTTATAGTTTCGCCATGTCCGTCCGTCCATCCGTCCGTTCGTCCACGGTTTTGCTTAGAGACCCTCGGTGCTACAAATCTGTAATTTGGCATAGTTATAGATATTACTCACGCCTAGAAAACTAAAATAAAAACAAAAAAAAATATTTTTATATTGGGTATTTCCCATACAAGTAAATGATTTTTTTACCCGTCTGTTACATTTTTTTTTATATTCTACTAAGCCAGCGCTTATCTACGATCCCACCTGATGGTAAGTGCTGATGTAGCTTAAGATGGTAAAGCGCACTGACTTAACAAAATCCTATTCACTCTTGCCTTGAAGACACCCACACTGTAACCGAATGGAAAGGCAGATGCTGGCAACTTATTCCACTCCTTTGATGTACGCATGATGAACGACGTGGCGAACCGTTAGGTTCGAATGCGTGGTAAATCAACAACGGAAGGGTGGAGACTGGCCGAACGTCTGGTTGTCCGATGGTGAAAGGGAGAGGGTGGAATTAAATTATGTAATTCCTGCGCACACTCTCCGAAATGCATCCTGTAGAAAACCGAAAGGCTGGCTACTTTACGTCTGTGTTCGAGGCTGTTAAGATTGGTTTTAACCAAATTCGGTTCACCAATAAGCCTCTTAGCACGCCTTTCCATTAAGTCCAGAGCTGCTAGGTGGCATTTTGCAGCACCAGCCCTTATATGGCGGCAATACTCCATGCACGACCGGACTTGCCATTTATATAAAGTAAGCAGCTGTCCCGGCGTGAAGTATCGCCGCACCCTTGCAAGGACACCAAGTTTCCTTGCAGCTGCTTTGGCTCTGGACTCAATGAACCGCCCGAAGTTCAAATTTGAGGATATTTCAAACCCTAACAACTGAAGGCGGTCGGTATATTTCAGTGATACATTTCGGAAAGAAGGAGCCAAGGTGAGCTGGCTCCTTTTTGCAAGGAAGAGACACGCTTGTGTTTTGAAGGCGTTGAACTTCACAAGATTGGCATCACCCCAATCGGAGACTGCCTGTAGTGTGAGATTCACACGCTCTACCATAGCTCCTCTTTCAGACTGGATTTGATTCCGACTGGCCCGAGGACTTGGTTGGTATCTCTCAACAACTGTGCTATCGTCTGCATACCCATAGATACCGGGCATAAGCAGATCATTAATATGCAGCAGGAAGAGAGTTGCGGAGAGAACGGACCCCTGAGGAACACCGGCGTTAGTCGCCATAGGATCGGATGAGCAGCCATCGACGACGACCCGGAGAGACCGTTCACTCAGAAAGTCCTTTACCCATTCAATCAGACCAGGGGATAGGCCATACGCTGGAAGCTTACCCAAAAGGCTAGTGTGCCAAACTCTGTCAAAGGCCTTCGAGACATCAAGGGAAACAGCAAGTGCTTCCCCACTGTTCTCGAGTGCCTCGCCCCATACGTGTGTGGCATACGCTAGAAGGCCCCCAGCTGACCGATTTCGGCGAAACCCATATTGCTGGTCACTAAGGAGGTCATTCTGTTCTAGGTAAGCCATTAAGAGGGCATTCAATATACGCTCCATAATCTTGCAGAGTATGGAGGTAATTGAGATTGGTCGATAATTGGCAGGGTCGGCGCGGCTGCCTTTTGGCAGGCTGCACGTTGGCCAGCTTCCAGGATTTTGGCACTATTCCAGTACTAAATGAGAGGCGGAACAAGCGTGTCAACACAGGAGACAACTCAGGTGCACAAGCCTTTAGGACTATAGCTGGTATACCATCTGGTCCACTAGCTTTATTCACGTCTAGACACCGTAAGGTTTTAAGAACCTCCTTATTCGTTATAAAGATCTCCGACATAGAGGTCCCGCAGTGAGGTAATTTTGGTGGAACGTTGTTGCCACTGTTCAGACGTGAATTGTAGGCAAAGAGAGACGCGAACAAGTCCGATTTCTCCTTAGCCGTATGCGCCAGTGTGCCATTCGGTTTTACCAACGGAGGCAGTGTAGATCGACAGAAGTTTGTCTCGACCGCTTTGGCGAGAGACCAAAAAGCTCTAGTGCCGGATGGTCTGGCAGCGAATTTTGCGCCAATATGTTTAATGCGATTGAGACTAGCTTTCCGTAATGCTTTTTTGTAGGACTTGGCGGTCTGGTTGAAAGTTCTCTTCTTGGAGCTAATATCCGGAGCTTTGCGGTTTCGAGCGTCAACCCAGGATAGGTAAGCTAAATGCTTGCGCTTTTCAGCTTGGGCGCATTCAGCGTTAAACCATGGGCGAGCTTTGCTACCGGTGGGAGCGTCAGAGAAGGGGATAAAGTACTCCATAGCTTGACGCAACACATCCGTTATCGCAACCGCGCAGCTCGACGGATCCGCAGAAGAGAAACAGACCTCCCGCCAAGGATAAGATGTAAAAAAGTGTCGCATCTCATCCCAATCAGCTGACTTATACCGCCATATTCGTCGAACACCTTGGGACTCGTAATCAGGTGGAGAATATGACGATACAGATTTCACCAGACAGTGGTCAGATGTACCAAAAGGAGAAGTAACCTGTACTTCATATCTGTCTGGTTCAGTAGTCAGCAGAAGGTCCAAGCAATTTGCTGTGTGACCGTCTACGTCGGGTACCCTAGTCGCCACCTTTACCATCTAAGAAAGTATTCTTGAAAGGTCTTTTGGTATGGGAACAACCAGTCTTGGTGACAAGCGTTAAAGTCCCCCAGAAAGACCAACTGTGCAGTAGGATACCGATTTAGGGCCACGTCAGCAGCCTCACTAAGGTGATCAAATAATCGTGTTGCCTTCTGGTCACCGCTGTGCGATCGATAGACACAGGCATAAAGGATTTTATCAATACGTGTATCTACCTTAGATTGTCCAAAAAGGGGGGTCTTCAAGGTGACAGAGACGCTGGTAGCAGATGTCATTGCGGACGTACACACATACTCCGGCACGTAGATGGAATTTGTGGTCCAGGGAGAATCCAGGATCCAGGGATCATCATGTGGGGTATTGTTGTATAGATCTTTCAAAAATACTGTGGGACTGGAACAACATTTAAGATTCAGGGGTCCGTTTGCGAACCAACCAAACCGCTGTATATGGAAGTGTGAAAAGTATACACAATAGTGGTATATATAATGAAGCTAAAAGGAAAACTATCACAGCTAAGTAGAATCAAAAGGTTAACGAGTAATCGTCAACCAATTTATAAAATGCAAGTTAGTAAAAATTTCATTACAACTGCATAGAAAGTGACCTAAAACTAGCTGCATTAATAAGTTTGTTTAGTTATTGTTTAAACGGTTTTAAAATAAATATTTTATGAAGAAACCGACTTATATATGCATTACTACTATTAGCTTTATTTTTACGAGCTAAATATGTTATTATTTTCAAAATTGAAAAGTTTTTTTCCATCTTATCTGAATACCACTCACCACCAGACGGAGTGAGGCAGAAGTTTGTAAGAGAGTGGTTAGGTACTATCACCCTCTTACAAACTTCTGCCACCAAATAATGACCATGTGATTTTTTTATTTCTTGTTCAAGCAATAAGGGTGACTACCGAGCACACAGTCCACCATGGTAAGTGGTTGCTGTGTCCCATAGACATCCACATCTATCCTCGATTAAGAATCAAATTGTAGATGCGTTGCCACCCTTGAGGAGCAAGATGGAATGCTTTATATCTATTAAAAAAGGCTCTCTGGTTCTCTACACTCACCATACGAAACACAGCAGTGTTAAGCTGCTACTTAACGCTGGTATTCTGTGAGAGCATGGTGCTTCCTCGGTGGAGCCGACTCATTCGTGCTACAACTATACTACTAATATAGCTGCAGCATGGCTCTACCTCGTCGGTCATCGGTTATCTACACTTACCATACGAAACACAACAGCAATAAGCCGCAATTTTACTCTGCAGCGTGGCTCTACCACTAACACTACACTAACCTGTGTTTCAGTCTGAACAGATATAGAGAGCAATGACGTGAAGCATTCAATTTTAGTTCAGTACGCACACATTAGTCTGAGAGGTTTTGGAGAGTCTGGTAATACTTTATAACCGATAAAAACGTCTGATATTTTTTTTGGAATTATATAAAAACTAAATTAAAAGATAAAAAATAAATCAAGTTGCCACAAAAACATTTTTTTTGGATATTTTTTTGCTTCTAAATGTTATATGCTGCGCAGTAACGAAATAACCGCAAACGCTCTGCCAGACTCGCGGTACTGGATTCGCCAATTGACGAAATTATATTTTTTCACAATTTCAACGACGGACCTTCTCAAAAGCCTGTAACTGTAACCTTATTTTCTTGACTGATTAATTGGTCTAGCGATCACAAACGCGAATGCCCCTATAAGGCCCAGGGCTCGAATACCAGGTCGGGTAAAAAAAAAACAGCTATTGAGTTTATCGGTCAAGAAATTGTCAATAGCTGTCCGAAGTCAGGAATTTGGCGGGGTTTAACCCCCGTGCTCGGTAAGCATTTAGAGCCGTTAGTCATGCGCCTGATCTCTCCAGTCGTGTCGGTTTATCGTCCCATTGGGCTGTGCGAGTGAGGGAATATATGTAGAGAGTGCACCTGTGCTTGTGCATGCACTCGAGCATAGTGCTCGAGTCCTGTTCCTGTCCTGTCGAACCCTGTCATGCGCAGATGGGTAGTCGTTGAAGCTGTTCGCCTTGACCGCAATTCGGTCTGGAGGACATTGTTATTCGCCTTCTTTGTTTGAAGTTGTTTAAGTGATATATGGGCTGCAGTAGGTGCTAAGGTAGACTGTAATTTCGTTTGTCACTTCAGTTTTATAAAAAAATATCAAGATCAACAGCATTATGCAACAGCACGTGTGTATTGATTTTAGATTTTTAATTAGTTTTTAATTAGCTCCTCCAATTATATGCTAAAAGGCAATTGTCGAGTTTTTGTACACAAACGCGAAGCGGAGAAGTTGTGCTTTAATGTCATCTTGACAAGGCCACGCCACCCATTCTCATTAAATATGGTTTATCATTTTTATATCGCACATTACGTGAAGACAAGTACGTCAAGAGAAATTACAAATAAATAAAATGTCATCCAGTTGGTGTGTCCTAAGAGGCGACAATCAGGAGCTTGGCAGCAACATCTTCCTAATAACGACTAAAAATAAAAATAAAAAACTGCGATTGCCAATCCGCTTGCCAAGCGTGGCAACTATGGCAAGTATCCCCCAAGGCAATCTTTGTGGGAGGCCTATAAGTAGTGGATAATTAGTAGGCTGTAATGGATGGATGTATAGAAGATAATCTACCAGGAGCACATGACTCACTGAGAGGTGAAATTTTCAAATCAACAGTAACATTACAACTATGGCAAATATCCCCCCTATGAGGCACTCTATGGGGAAGGCCTATGTACAGCTGTGGACTTTAATAGACTGTAATGAATGGATGTATAGAAGATAATCTACCAGGAGCACAAGACCCATTGAGAGGTGAAATTTTCAAATCAACAGTAACATTACAACTATGGCAAGTAACCCACTATGAAGTAATTTATGGGGGAGGCCTATATTCAGTTGTGTACTTTGATAGACTATAACTGTAACGGTAACGATATTACAGATATGAACTTAATATTTTATAGAATCAAATAATATTCTGTCTTTATTCTATTTTGGAAGCTTCCAGCACAATATTTAAGTCGAATATAACATCAAACTACAATACCTTATATTATCATTCGATCACAAAAGTTGCTTGCTCCCCGTTTTGCAATTTATAATAATGGACTTTAGTAGGCTGTAATGGATGGATGTATAGAATATAATCAATCTACTAGGAACACATGACCCACTGGGAGGTAGAATTTTCAAATCAACAGTAACATTACAACTATGAGGTAATCTATGGGTGAGGCCTTTTCAAACTCAAACTCAAACATTTATTGCTAAACCATAATGTACACAAGATGTTCAAAAATAATGTGAGACCAGTGTTATGGACCGTGTAGGGCACGCAATTTTTTTATTAGGTATTAGGTAAGCTAATAAAAAATATTCCAATGAAAATTTTCAACTGAACGTATGACTCAATCAAAACTCCAAAGTTCCATGAGCTAGCAGTTAACGAGCAACGTGGCAAAACTTTCGCGAATGCAGTTAAAAACTTTGCCATATTTTACTTAACCTAATATTTAGTTTTACTAATTTGTAATTTTTTTTTTAGTTTGAATGGTGCCCTATTTTTAAATAATTTGGTAGTACATATAACAGTAAATTATTATTGATCTTGATTTGTCACATAGTGATTTAAATAAATAACACATAATAAGCATAGATTTTAAAAATAATAAATCAAAGAATTCCAGCAGCTTCATGCTACTGTTTTCCCTAAGGTGAGTGTAAGGAACCTCTTTCAATGGAAACCAGGCATTCTACATTAGTCTTCAGGGGTGACAACCAGCAGAGTAATTACTAGGATATATATGTAGAAATTTAATATTTAGAGCATAGTTAGAGCGATTGTCCACCGCCGCCGTCACCGGGATGTCAACGAGAACGAGATGACTGCGCCGAAGTAGCGACACATACATTTACTATAGTCGCCTGTCCACCGCAAGCCCGTCTACGGTACGATTTCTTCACTCATGTGCCCGAGCGCAGTCATTCCGGCTTCCGAAGTTTAAAGTAGATCTGCCCGAGATTGTGACGGGTCAATGTACCGGATACAAAACACATTTAAACTTGTTCATCCACACCGGAACTGTGACTTCGCACCGCGCTGACGTACGACCGCTATTAAGTAATTAATTATACCACCGAGATCGTCACGGTGGACAAACGATTGCCGTTACGTCATATTGATCTCGGCCAGAAATAATCTTAATTTCGTTAACGTCCCGGTGACGGTGGCGGTGGAAAATACTATAAAGGTGACAAGCGAGCACACAGTCCACCTGATGGTAAGTGGTTGCTGTGGCCCATAGACATCTACATCTATCCTCGTTTGCGAATCAAAATGCAGATGCGTTGTCACCCGCGAGGACTAATATGGAATGCCTCGTTTCCAGTAAAAAGGCTCTCCGGTTCTCTACACTCACTACACGAAACACAGCAGCTTTAAATTGCTATTTCACGTAAAAGTATTAAGAATTACTAAGGAAACTTCAAGAAACGATCTTACTCCTTTTTTAAAGGTCGGCGAGGCATTCCAATTCCTCTGGTGTTACATTTTTTTATGTTACGGCAGTCACTTGTTTTGATGTGAACCGCTGCTCGTTTGGCCCGTGGTTATGCTGTAGCTATATTATGGTTGTAGCACAATTGAGTCAGCTTGACGGGGGAAGGACCACGCTCTCACAGAATGCCAGCGTAAAATAGCAGCTTAATGCTGCTGTGTTTCGTATGGTGAGTGTAGAGAACCGGAGACCCTTTTTACTGGACACGAGGCGTTCCATCGTGGCAACGCATCTGCATTTTGATTGTTAATTGAAGATAGATGTATGTATGTATATACAATGTCTATGGGCCACATCATCCACTTACTATCAAGTGGACTGTGTGCTCGTTTGTCGCTTTTGTTCTATAAAAAAATATCTGAGAAATCGAGGCCATCATAACCCTCGTGTAATAAGAGGCGATATGGTAAATGAATATCTGATAGCTTCCAGTAGATTGTAATTATATTATAGTATTTATACGTGGTATTTATACGAATGGGTCGGCTCGAACGGGGAAGGACCACGCTCTCACAGAAAACCAGCGTAAAATAGCAGCTTAACGCTGCTGTGTTTCGTATGGTGACTGCAGAGAACCGGAGACCCTTTTTACTGGCAAAGAGGCATTCCATCTTAGTCCTCACGGGTGACAACGCATCTGCATCTTGAGTCTTTATCGAGGATAGATGTAGATGTCAATGGGTCACAGTAACCACTTA